GATTCTGACACGACAAACTACCCTTGAAGAACTGTAGGACTTACAGCAGTACGCCTACATTCCTTCTCAGGTTGATGATCCAAGTGGAAGTCGTCCGGACACAAACAGAATTACCAACAGCTAGATGACAGATGATATCAATTCAGTATATACAATATGAACATATGTACAAGATCATACACCAAGCACATTGGACTGCTCATTGATGCGCTACCCTTTGAAGAATTGTAGGACTTACACCAGTACGCCTACAACCCTTCTCAGGTTGACGCCCTAGGTTGGAAAATCGTCGCAGAGTTCATTTGCTAACTTCCTTCTATCAGCTATATCCTCAAATCTGAACGGCAACACGCCCATGTCATTGTATCGTAGAATATAGATGACCAACAAACACACGACATATCTCATCAACCAAGCGTAGAAACAGAGTAATTTACACCAAAGATAATAACATTCAAATAGTAACTTGAAACTAGAAATGCCTTTATTCGTGCAAGTCAATTTAACAATTACTCTCTCCTTTACACTTGGCTTATCCACACTAAACTGACCATTATTTTTCGTCCTTTCAAACGAACTAATACTATCATAGTCATTGCACAAGATACTTGAGTTGATGGGTGTCTGTTTCATTGTGGATGACAGCACCAACGATGACTGAGTGACACAAGGTGATGAACTTAGTGGTGGATCAGAAGCTGTTCTTGTTCGGCTCTCAGATAGTTGTCCAACTGCAAGATTACCACCACTGCTGTCTTTCACTACTAGTTCGGGTTTAGCACTATCATCTGATGATAGGTGGGCTACACGCTGATCAATTACACTGACTGTCTCACAAGTATGCACACCTTTTGGAACTGCATCTGCGTTCAATTCTACTTCACGTTGTAGTTGTACAGAACCTTTATTTAACTTAGCAGTAGTAGGCATATCCCTCATCTCATAATGATCAACCAAAGACAAATCTGAAGTATCATGATCATTATCACGAATATTCACTTTACCGTCAACTTCATCATTTTCAAACTCTTTAATAACAGAAGTAGACAATTTTGGTTCCTCCTCACAAATCATTAAAGGTTTTATATCTTCACTCTGACTAGTAATACCTTGTAAACTTGTAGAGTCAGAACTGCACTCTGAAGCAGTAACTCTATTCTGTGACACTCTATTCAACAACGGCTTACCAGTTGCAACTACAGACTTCTTCACCGCACCGTTATCGTCACACAATTCGGAGTCAGGCCTGGAGTTTACATTTAGCTTATCACTGAACTTGCTCACTGGTTCACAGTTCACTTCTGTATGCACCTCTTGCACACGTGTAAAACACAACCGTGTTTGTCTTGCATCTTGTAACTTATCTGTTGAGGATGTACTACGAAACCTGTTACACTCACTAGGTCTATATGCATTACTAGACATCATGGAGTCTTCTCGATATCCACCTCTCTGAGGCCTACTCGTCATCAATGATTGCATTTTAATCTCAGACTGCTCTATTCTAGGGGTGAGATCTAATAGACTGGAAAACTTGCTCATAGATTGATTGACACTAGTATTTACCAGTTTCAGGATATCATCAAACTTTGGCTCGATACCCTCATCCTCCATACGGGAGCTCATCTTCACCCACTTCCTTTGCAGTCGAGTAGGTAGACGTCTTGCTATTACTTCTAGTATAAAACTCGAGTTGAGGTCACTCATGCGATTCATCGAAATCATTCCATTCTTGTAAATTAGCAAATTATCTAAAAACTCAGTGAGTGCCTGGGAGTCATCCTGTAATTGACCACCATTACCCTTAACAGCCTCGAATAATTTCCCTGCAATCATCGAAGGTCTTCCAAACCTTTGACGTAATATGCTCATAGCCTCGTAGTAGCCCTCTTTTGGCTTCATAAACTTACAGCACTGTATAGCTCTTGCAGCATCTCCAGTGCAATATCTCATCAAATACATTAACTTCAATTCATCATTTAATAAAAAACCACTCAACATGATCTCAAACTCCTTTACAAATTGTAAATAATCGGCCGGGTTTCCATCAAAACACCGTGGTTCAAATTTAGGGAGTTTGATGTTCCTATTATCCCTGAACGGCGAAACAGTAACATCAACCATGTCATGCTTAACATCAGACACATCGTTACAATTAACAGACAAGTCACCATGACTTACTTTCCTGTTTGCATCCAAGACACTCTGTCCCTTCTTTGACCCAGGCATTGTTGAACTTGACCCAATTCCAAAAAAGTTCCAGATATTGCTTGTTCAAAGAGGACTTGACCGGCACCAGGAAAGATGAACGGCGACTATCCAAACTTTCACCAACTGTTTGAATCCGCCAGATCTGTTTCCATCGTCAGAAACTGTCAATCACGTCTCATAAACCGTTAATGCCCAGCTCTCGCTACGCTCGGGCCCACGCTGTTCCTTGAAGTTTCAGAAACGCTTAGTTATAACGGACGCAAAAACCAAAACACCGATCTGCCGCTTGTTATTTCTTTATTGTTACACCAACATATAAAAGGAATAAACGAACTAAGCAAACTAAGGTTTCTGACGATGTTTCACTCTTCTTTCTGAACAGCGACCGATGAGACGATGACTGTCGTATTGATGCCTCCGCGAAAATTGAGGAAGTTGATTTTGAGCAAACAACCAAGAATCGATCGTTCAATCTTCAACTCCATTGACAATTGGTGTTTTGGTATTTTCTTTCGTTATTACTAAGCGTTTCTGAGAAACTTCAAGCGACAGCTTGAGCCCGAGCGTAGCAAGAGCTGGGCATTAACGGTTTACGAGACGTGGCTGACACCTATTGCCGGATGCCTGTATCTTGTTCAGCTTTAACACTTCGTCGACGGAGATAATCATTCATCTGTAATATGCAGCGTAATCATAAAGCTCTAGAACCTCACAGTTCCACTTAATTTCGGCGAATCAGTGAAGGCTCTACAGTGTAATTATTGAACTATGTAATTTCGCTGTCAAAGTTAAGAACTGTGCTTTCCATAATATGATAGTATTATTGCCTTCATTTGTGATTAGACCATCGGACTTCGATATCTTCACCTCTTTCTGTTGTCTGCTGCTCTCTTTAGTATTAGCTCGATGGCTGCTCATAAACCCTCAGCTCCTCTTCTTAGATATCTACTGTGCCAACTTTGGATGCCCAACTCGTCGTTTCTTGACAAGCAGAAGTGCTTTTAATTCTAAAAAGTCAAGACAGTGTTGTGAAAATTGATCACTTCAAATCATTTCGAAAAATGCTTGCCAAATAAATGCGTTAAATCTAGATATTGACACCGTCGCCTCAAAAACCGACATATTAGTCCAACATTGCCTCCTTAGAAAATGTTTAGATCTTAGAAGACTGATTAGTGAACAAAGAATATTGTTGTCAGTAACTTCTTCACCAGATTATCCTGAACCTATGATCATTTTCCGGATCCCACAAAATATATATGCACCAATACTTGCTAGAGGAGTCTGGGTCGTTTATTGAAACTCTGGGAGTGTGAATGGTGTTGCAGCAGGAAAACAAAGTGTTGTAAATCTACTCTCGAGCTGAAGTTTAGTCACTACGCTTGTTTTAAAGTATCTTTCCACTACCCAGAATTACTTACCTCACTCGTAGTTTCATCATCGGAGACTTCTCATCTGTTCCGCACTTAAAGCGTATTAACAAAATATTCTAATATACTCTCCTAGTTCTCCGTCCGTTTATTCATCATAATTGTTAGGATCCTGCGCCATACTATTGTCGAAATGGCTTTTTTATTCACTGGTCTAATGAAAATCTGTTCTATTAATCGCAGTGGTACTAGTGTCAAGCCAACAGTTTAACAACGAAAATCATATATTTTGTGCAGCAGTACACACATACTATACTCAACATCGGCATTGCGGGCTTGTTCAGCATCTTAACATGTTGGTGCGAGATCAGTGGTGTTTTAGTAACTCACTTGTCGCTTCTGTGAAAATTAATCCCTTAGATAGTACCTGCAAGTTAAGTCCTACAGTTCCTATGTAACCAGCCCGCTTATCACACCAGTTTATCTAAACTCTGTACAAAATAAACCTTACTCCCATCACTTGTAGCAGCTCAAAATTAATCAAATATTTCTGCTGAAAGTTTGCTTTTGGAAAAATGGACGTGATAAATAATTAAGATAAATACCGCACTGATCTTTGTCTTACGCGAATTTAAAAATACTTAGGTTTTGCGCATTAAGAGATGATTATTTTGACTACAGTAACTTGACTTCTGCTCCGGAAGTGCGAATGGCCTGTAGGAATCGTTTCGCATGATTTCTCTAGAAAAAATTTTATGCTCCTCGAAGTTCTCGCTGAATAAATCCATTTGATGTTATTGATATAAGGATATAATTTGGGCAGTGTGGTAGAGTATGTGAGCACCTTGATATGATTATGGGCAAAAAACTGTTCTAGAAATGTCATAAGTAAACATTACTGTATAACACTTTAGAGGTCGACGGATATCTCGTTCAACAACTTCTAATTAATTTATTCTCGCGTACCAAAGACAAAGCAAAAGCAAATAATTGATCGTCCAAACCAAGCGATATATTTAGGAACCAAAACAAGCCGTTAGACGAACGCTTAGCTAGCTAGTGATCGTGCACGTGGCACGACGAGGTACCAAATGGCGGGGATGCTTGACCGGAAGCCTTCAGCTAAACAAGTCGACTTAAACAGTGGTGGTCAGCATCCAATGAGTGATTGCTGTGGTCAATAATTTTGGGGAATTATTTACCGCTACAACACTCTATGACTTTATCAAGATAAAATTGTATTCATAAGTTTCTGTTAGTTCAACTACAATGGTTGATTTCGATTCTTCATTTTATAGTCGTATTTCGCTGTCATACGGTTATCTAATTTTGGTCCAGTTTTCAGATGTTTAGTGCAATAGTAAAGTGTTTTTCTCAGTCAGTAAGCATTCAGTACGGAGGCTTCTGAATGCGGGAAATATGGATAATTCGTTTACGATGGAGGGTCCTTTAAGTAAATGGACGAATCTCGTTAACGGATGGCAATATCGTTGGTTTGTCTTAGATATCAGTCTGGGTGTCCTGTCTTACTATACGGTGAGTCAGGTCTTGATACCTTTTAATAATAATAAATAATAATTTTTCCTTCACGTTCCCAGTGGAACATAGGGCCCCAAGCTAGTGGCTTGAAGTTTCTGTAGCAGTGTTCATTTTTAATTTTACAGGATGGGGTTGCTAGCCTCATGCCCAACTTTTCCTCTTTACCAGCATTACTTCTGGCTCAGTGAGGTAAAGGAGTGCGCCGGCCGGGAATCGAACCCGGACCATGTGCATGGTCGGCGAGCGTCCTAACCGCTATACCACCGACGCACTTGATACCTTTTAGTACTGTCTAACCTGAGCTGACGTAGTTATTTCAAAGTCTGGTACCTTTCGGTAACATTTTTCGAATTTGTAAACCATCTGTTATATATGGCGTTTATTTAGAGTTACTTTGGTATGCTCTCACCACGTCTCTCAAGTGTATTGTACATGATTTCCATTCCAAGCCTCAAACATTTCGACTTCGACGTATGCCGCCTTTTAATAGACTATTTAAGGACAACTATTTCCAAATATATCCCAATAAAAGTTGAAGCTATGTATTTTATAACTTTTACTTTGGTAACTGCAAGAAAATGGTCCTGTGGCTAATTTTTGCAATGTGTAAAACCATTTCAGTTTAAACATGAAAAACGTTTTTAGATGTGTATTGGGTCCTGTTAAAGTCACATTGCCTTCTGATGCTCCATTCGAATGGATTATAAGTATAAATGAGGTATTGAATTGGTTAGTAAACGAAGATGAATAATCTAACAATATGACAACATCGAACGTATAATATTTTGTGTTAGTGCCTTTCATTTGCTCATAAGATAAATACGATCTAACTTATTGAATTGCTTATTAAAATACAAGATCTCAGCAATTTTATATTCGTATGTCCCTTAGTATAAATAGGTCTCCCAAAAGTTTTCCTAAGCTCGTTCGATATGCCTAACTAATACTGCACCTTGGTGTTTGGGATTCCTTCTGTTCAGATCTTGTTATTCGTGATCATTTTAATTCACTGGAGGTGGGTTACAAACATAACTTGACACAGAGTTTTATTGTGGTCATATTCCAGTGACTCATTTCTAACTACTTGGATACAAGTGCTCGACCATATACTTCGAATTTTGGCGTCTTGTAGTCTGTTTTGTTAAATGCGTTGTACGTGTGCAATTTTCTACTGTATCTAAAGTTAAATGACTGTCTTCTGAAGGCATGTAGTCAGTGTCATCCGTTCATATGCACGAATGGAAAGTACCACCATTTTGAAAAGAATTAACGTTACTTTTCTCAAGTTACATGTATTCTAAACTCCTATAAGCTGCTCTACACAATTCACCCTAAAATATTGATATATTTTTAACGAAATAAAGTCGTTTGCTTGAAATGTATTCACGACTTTTTTAAAACTGCTTTAGGACGTTCTCTTATTTCTGTCTTTAGTCGAAAGAAAAAATGATGCGGGGTGACAGGCGGGGATGTGTTAAGTTAAAAAATGCTCAGGTTGGGATTGATGATGAGGACGACAGTACGTTCACCATTACTGTTGATCACAAAACATTTCATTTCCAAGGTAACTACATGTTAAATCTTTTTTACTGCTCGATTTTTCTAAAATTTGACGATAATTCTTTTTTCACGCATGGCGTCTTTACTTAACTACCTGATTGGCTTCATGCGATAAAACTGATAATCACTCTGTTATATGTGAATATCCACAGTTATGATCAAAGACGGCGGTTTCGTTCTTAAAGCATCCACACAATTTTAAAAGTAAATTATATTTAAGTGTGTAGTTTTTATCAGTGCTTCATTATCGTTGCCTCTTTTTAATTAACCTATTAGCAAAGTATTCTGTAGATGAAGTATGAGGCACTAAACGATAGCGTAAATGATCAACCTTTTCTGATATCTGCTTAGCGGAATAAGAACTCGAAATTATACGCATTCGCTTCTTGTTCTCTCTAAAAGACTTACAAACCAATTGGAATATGATGGGTTTTAGTCAGACAAAAACACGAGTCTTGGTTAGGCTGTCGTAAAAATCTCAGCCAATAAACAAGCCCTGTAGCCAGTTAGCCCTTCAATTGTTCGGCTGTGATCACTCCTAAATGGTCCCATCGTCTACACATTTCAGCCAAGAGTTTTGTAATTAAACAGTCGTGTATCACTACCTCACACCTCCTTGAAGCAGATGATTCCAGTTTTTTTCATTCAACTCTCTGTGAATCATGTGTTGGATACGATTCACCATGCTTTGCACAACAGGTAGTACCTTACTCCTGACACAATGGTGTCATTGTTTAGGTATGAACTCAAGCATGACTGCTGATTTAATTTGTAGAATTGGTAGTAACTGCTAGGTGTTATGAGTAAAGAGACAGCGCCCTATCGTATGCACTTTCAGCCGGTGGATCGAGGTTTCAAGTTCCACTCAACCTACTTCAGTCTAGGTGACTGGGTAGCATTATCAAACCTCATCAAATATGTATGGTTCATAGTCTGGCACGTAAAAAATATGGTCCACATAATTCACTTCTAACTAGCTGATGAAATTTTTCTATCCGCAGTCCTGGTCTGTCTCTGTCTGGATTCCACATATAACTTGGCACCGAAGTGCAGCAGTTCGAGTTGCCACGTTCCAAATAGCACACAAAGATAGACAAGAAGATGAGTAAAGAGAATCAATAGAGTTTGACAAGTATACGAGCGAAACAGAATGGGTAATCGTAGTCCCGCAGTCCCAAAAAGACTTTTTGGTAATGATTCCCAGCATAATGATTATTGCACCGCCTATGTTTCGACTAGTCCTGTTCATTCATTCGCTGGAAAAATGTATGAGATAAAGCTGCGTGCACCTGATGCATACAAAACTCGTACAGAAGTCATATTCAGTTATTTTGCTTTTTCTTCAGCTCGTGACTCAGATGAACGCCAGAAATGGTTAGATGCTTTACAAGAGGCTAGAGATTTACATACACAGAATTATGCTCTTCTTAATCAGGTTAGTGATATGATGCTACTTCTCATTTTTGCATAAAATTCTTCGGGATTTTATTTTTCTTCCGATTGACATACAAGTACGTAGCCTAGTGTTTTCATTTCCTAGCTAAACGTACTTTACAATATAATATATGACATGACGAGTTGTCTTTTAAATGGTTTCATCTTTAAAATCTGTGCAGTATATGTCCAATTTTATCACCGAATGACTGATATGAATATTTAGCTTGCAAATCAGATGTTACTAAGTCTGTTGTCAGGTTATAATACCCGCTAACGATGAAATAAACATTCACAGATGGGGTCATTTATGGTTTGACTCTCAGGTTTTAAGTGAAGGACAACACGAAGTTTAGTAGACCTCATACTGATGAAATACAACTTAATTTGTATCTACTTTAATATTCTTTCAAGACAAATGAGTATGGCGTGCTTAAAAATACCTGTACTGAACGATGAAATTAAACATTCTTTTACTGTCACTTTTGAAACTGGTATAAGATGAAAACCAGTAGTTCATAATCCTTAAGCACTAAAAAGGTGTGAAAATTGCTGAAGTATTTACTACAAACTATTTAGCTGCCTTCAAAACAAGTATGAGCAAGTGAGAAACTGATCTATCGGTCACTTAACTGAGTCGCGAAAATTAATGCTGCTGAATTGCGTTTCTGTGGAAGATTTGTAAATGAAAGTCAACAGAACCAATTGTGTAATGATAATTAGCCTGGAAGTTGTGTTACGCCTGTCGACATTCATAAAATAATTGTAGCTGCAACTTCAAAGGGTCTCGTGTGTTTTTTTGTGTGTAGATTTTAATGTCTGTTACTGTAAATATGACTAATATACTCAATTATTTCAGTTCCCATAGTTGGACTAGACACAGTTAAATAATATTCACGAGTAAATCACTAGTGTCAATCGGATGCTAAATATGTTAAATAACCTAGTGTTTTTAGTTTGCGTATATACAAGTCTGTGCGTTTACTAATATTTTTGTCAAAGAACGCAAATGCATTTATTGGGTTATTTTTATCGAATGGGTGTTCCTTAGTCCCTATCCAAACCTGACAACATTTTGGACTGCTGTGTATTGATCTTCCTGATGTCACACTGAGAGTCAACATAAACAAGTGGATTGTAACTCAACAAGACAGTTTTTCATTTCATAACTACCTACCTGTTTTCCTGACATGTGTCCAGGAAGACAAACAGTAAATGGTATGTAAATGTAGCACATATCCAAGTAAGAGGAGATAATGTTTCAAAATTACTTCAAGCATTAAATGATTATATTCGTCATATGCTTATTCGGGCTTCAAAATTTCTGATTTACTATCCTGCGGTAACAGTAATGATAGAATGTCCTCGGCTCGGAGGTTTTACAGTCGTAGAAAAAAAGCTAGTATCAACATCAAGCTATATGTAGTTAATGCCAATTTTGTCATTTTGGCTTTCGTTATATAGTTTTGAAGACTCATGTTGCGTAAACGAAAAATATCTGTCACAATGCCTTACTGTTTTTCATCGTAGGTGAGATGATAAGTTCTTTCTTTGTATCTCAGTTGTATATATCATATACCGCGTCTGAGATGTTTTCTAGAGGTATGACTCCCTGGTTTAGGCACTCAACTGCCAACCACTGGGTCACTGGTTCCAACCATATCTCGCTTGCTGAGACGGTAGAATTATTAGAATTCATTTGATAAGTGCTGCTCATTGCCAATTGTATATAAATGGGAGCGGTTATTGAGTCATGCTTCAGATTCTCACTTTCCAAATCAGTTTTAACTGTCTATGTGTTGTCGTTAAGTAAGGTGACATAGTTTCATGGAGTTGTCTCCTGACTTCAGATCCATTATATCATGCGCTTTCTTCATGGTTGTCTCAGATTCTCAATGATGGTAGTTTCATCTAGCTTCTTTGAAATAGGTATTAATGTGCGTTACACTCTGCTCTAGAGAAATGAAGGGAGCTCATATTTCGAGAAAATTATGAGTTAACCTGTAGTGTATATGATGATATTTAATTAACTAGCATAGTTTGGAGATGCGATCAATGTGGCTACGAGTTGAAAAAACTGTGTTATGGTTGTTGTGAATCGTTTTATATCAAAAATATCTTTGTAATATCTGTTACAAACTTATTCCACACTCATTCATAGTATTCTGACATTTGTTATAATCCTCGTTTCAACTGAATTTCTTTCACCCTCCACTATTAACAAGTTCACACGTTACGAATTGTCTGACCTTTGCAGGGAAATCGAACACGTGATAGTGCGATTTTACTTACTCTAATTCTATGAGTAAATGTGAGTTGTGGGCATTGGGTTTCCAAGATAATAAAATTTTCAAAGTGGAAGTCCATCAAGTTGGATACCGATTACCCCTTCTTACCGTTTAAAATTCTAATTTAACTAACCTTCGTATTGCTGATATTCTGATTAGATATTCTGGATGTTTCTTCAACTTTATCTTCGTGAAAATGTGGCCTTATTTTTCCCACATGAAATTTCAATGAAATTTTTTTTTAACTATTTCAACTTTTAGCTAGTATACCTGTTTAAACAGTTATGTGACTATTTTTTGACGTTTTTTTTCTAGACTAATCGTTTACTGGAACATCCTTGTTGTCTTTCGGAATTCGATCGTCGTATAGTAGAAGCAGATGCGTATTTGCAAATCTTGATAGATCAGCATGAGGTAATTATACTTTTCATTCTTATTCCCGTGTGTATGTCGTATTCACTTTACACTAATTCGAGCTTGTGTTATACAACTGTAGAAAGTGGATGTGAAAACTTATATGACTTCATAAATTTTATCCTGACTAAAATTGTAAGAAAAGGTATTGAAATCGGTAAAAACAGGCTTTATTCTTCATTTTTATCATTTTGTTTAGGATGTAGAATTTGTTAGCTTCTAGACGGGAATTGTTAAACAGCTTTATCCATTTGTTCACTCATAAATTTGATATTCCATGGCACCGTCACGGGTTGATGTGCATTAAAAGGACAGAAAAATTATCTAATCTAAATAGTTCCATTCATATAATGCAGACAGGAAAGCAGTTATAAACAGTATAGCATTTGATATAATTATGTTTAAGTCTTCATATATTATCACACCAAGAATAAATCAGCAACATAGAAAACAGAATAAAATAAAATTTATAAAACTTAGATTATTAGAATAGAATATAAGGACAAGTTTTTCTATACTACTGGTTCTGTACCATATTAGTCAAGTGAAGATCAAACTTTGTCGGTTATGGTCTAAACGTAAAAAAACGATCTTTACGTTCTGCTGCACAGCCGACAAAACTTCGTTTAGAAACGTGCGATCACGAAACGTCTCGAAGGTAGGGACGTAAGGAAGAGTATTCTTCAATATTTTAGCATTAGACACATTTACAAGCATTGTATATAGGATATTCAAGCCTGTCTCTGAGACTTGTCACAATGTGTGTTTTACTGCCTATGTTACTTTATCCACAATATATTTCAACTTATCATGGGTCAGACTTAAAGCTGAAAAGCAATGGTCATTTACAAGTAGAAGAAGAGTAAAGAAATTGGTTCGATGTTCAAGCACTTCTTCCTAGCCCATATCAATCATCTCTAAGGTAGACTGAAGGACGGCATCTAAAACTTGTGGGAGCGCTGGAAGAAAATGATCTTGAAGACGATTAACAAGAGTAGCCATCAGATTTAAAACCTCTGCTTCTGGAACAAAAGGAAGATTCTTTTGATGATCATCTCCCGCAGCAATAATTAAAGTACAATATTCTTGGCAAGAAACACAGGGTACATAGTTCTCTTTATCCAGCGAGATAAAAGATGCATTAGGACCTTAACCTATGTCACACAGCGAATAAGTAGTTACTTCGTCACCTGATCTCCATTAGTGGCTACAGCTTGACCAATATTCTGAGACATTATCTTATAGACATTTTAACATGTCTAGATAAATACAACCTAGCTGAACAAGGTAGGGTTGTCCAAAGGATTTACAGGCACTGTGATTTGCTTTACAACTTGAATAAGTACTCGAAAGAGTTGTTTTATGTGTCTGCTTTGAACATCTGAGTTCGAATGGGCACTGATTATCACTCCATCAGCTTCATTAAATGTATGCACTTGTTGTGGCTGTAAATCGTTTATTATTATATCAACTTCTTTTCGAATTTCCTCAATGAATTCAACTTCACCGTATTGTATAGTCACCAGCTGTTGTTGACATTTCTGAGCAGTCTCGATAAATGTATCACAAGCCATATCCTGTACACCATCATGCTTTTCATGCATCAATTCAAAAAGCTTTATAATCACAGTTTTAAGGAATCATCTGTGTGCACGCGAAGATCGAGGATATTGAGTAACAACGTACATAATATTGCTTTCCACAGTGGCTTTATTATCTTAACCACGTTTCTGTTCGCATAACCCCAGAAGGTCTCGTATAACAACAACAGCAATCAAGAAATTTCTTTCATTGTCTTCCTGCATAGCACCGCAGATGATGCCAATTGCCCAACAAAGAGTATTAAGGTTATGCCGAGACCACTGTCGACTATCTACTTGATGTTGTAATTTTTTTGTATCGGAATGGTCCAAGTGAGTTAAATACACCAAAGTTTCACGCATATTCTTAAATTTATTCAAACTATCCATATCCTTCATAAACCCTCTAACAACCTCTGCGTGTTCATTTCCAACTGCAAGCACCGCCACACGACGAGCCATACGTGAAATCATAATTCTTCGGAGCTTTCATAAAATCGGCGTGTATCGTTTGTCCCATTCTTCTCCAGTTAATGAACCCCCCAGTGTTCCGACTATTGGTGCTGTAAGACATCCTCGATATAAGTTGGAAATCAAAATATTCCAATACTCTAAGCACATCACGAATATTCTAGATTTCTAATGAGCTCAGGTTTTTTGACGAGACTACCGTGCGCTTCAGGAAAATTGGTGTAAAAAATTCCATCAATAAAGTTTTCTTGATCCCTGCTCCAAAGCCACTAAACTACTACTGCTACTACTACTATTATTACTACGACTAGTTGAAAGGTAGTTAAGCGGGAGTTTTCTTGAGTACTAAATGTTTTTGGGTATGTGACTTATGAATGGTAACTTTATTGTCGGACTAATGCGTTTCCTAATATGGTGTAGCGTACTTTTCCATTTCCTTGTAAAAGCTCCTTCAGAAGATAAACAATGTTTTGTAAAAGTTTATTCGATAAATGCTTATGAATTCTTGTATCCTTAGCGTCTCAGCTTACTTTTTCGTAGAAAGTGGTGCAATGTAAAACTCTGCGGCCTTCAGGCTCGAGCACTGTGGTTATCAAATACACAGAGTAATCACACATTCTCATCTCTGAGAGGCCATGTTTCACTGTCGTAGAAAAAAGATTGCGCCTACCGAAGCTTTGTAAACTTGACGTCGCAACGACGCTCGAGATGGCACTAATTCACATATGCCACCGTAGCTTTCACTTTTAAATGAGAGAATTCATCGATCACTGAATTAAGTAGGTACACGTACTTATTGACAAACTCAAGCGGTCCACCTGCAACGGAGAGTGCAGGTACACACTCCTACCAATCTCACATCAGTACTTGGTACTTAGATGGCCCATACCATGCAGACAGTAGTAGTTACCAGCTGATTAAGTTCGACTTGGGTAATTTTTTTTATTTTTTATTTTTGATTACAGCTTGATTCCACACTGTATTTTTGGTACAAGTATGGAATTTTCAGCATGGATATCGGTAGCCCAAATTTTGCAGGCCGACCATAGATATCAGGTGTGCGCCGGCAGGGGATCTAACCTCGGACCATGTGCATGGTCGGCGAGAGTCCTAACCACTGTGCCACCGACGCACAGTTAGAGGATATCTGCCTACTCGAGGTCGAAAGGTCTTCCAGAAAGCGGGTCTATGCCACCACCACACACTTCCTTCAGAGCTAACTCCAGAATGTCATCGATGGCAAAGTTAGAGAGAAATGAAGAGACTGGGCAACTCTGTCCGAACCCACTATTGTTTTGGAAAAGCAGTGAATGAGCGGAAGGCAGCCCCAATATCGAGAAACAACAATTTTCGGTCTTCAACACGTGTTACAGTATTCTAGCAGCTGACAATGGCTAAGCACATAGTCGGTTCATCCACAATCTGAACGAAACCCAGCCTGCTCTTCGCGAATCAACTTCTCACACGTTTTACATTCTGTCTGTCTGTTTTCGACATAGAACTTTGCACGAATGTGCGGCAGTTCAAGTCGCCACACTCCGTGTAGCACGCGAAGACGTTTTACACAGTTCTCAGAACAAGGCAGAAACCAATATTTTAGGCGCAACTAATACCATAATGGACGTCACAATAAAATTTTCAATCCACAATGATTTAAAATTCTCATCTCCCCATATATTTCTGAAAAATCCAACTAGTTTCCTGACCACAGTCTCACCACCATCTCTGGAAAGAGCTGGAAGTATGTCACTTGAGAACTTGGAGTTATTTTTCGACCTACACTTATTTTGTTGGGTTGGTATTAATCTGTCAATATATACTGTGATTACTGATGTTGGATATTGGCATTGTTAGCCTACTAAACTATCTTTCGAAGTTATCTGTCCAGCGTTTCAGGCTTGCTAAAGCAAGGTCTATCCACCATCGTCCGCACCAGCTTATATTTATGAGGAGCCGCGAACTACTGTTGAATCCTGTATGCGTTAAGTAGTAGTAGAGTTCATTACGATGACTGGCTAGTATCTACATTCTTTAGTGTGTGTAAATTGACAGAAATTTAGCCTCATTTCTGAGCCGTATTCGCCGACTCAGAGGGTAAATTTTTGGTAAAATATTTCCTGAAGCTAATGCACAGTTTCAAATATTTACTTAAAACCTTGAGTTTAATTTTCATGAACTGAGACAAATTGCTTTTCAAGACAACTTCATACTCGGCCTATTCTATGAATTTTAGCTTCACTTGTTGTTTGCTTGGCTCAAATGTTTTTTGAATTGTCCATGTTTGGTCGAGTTAGTTTACTGGTTTTTATATGTGCAGTCAGAGAACTTCCTTTAAAATCGTTATATATACAAATAACACAATGATGTTCGTTAGTCTCATCTACAAGTGGTGACCATTTAACCTCTGAAACGATATCGTCTTTCAATTGTCGGAAGTTAGAGCTACAAAAAGGGTAACACTGCCCGATATTTGTTTGTCACCACTCTCCAACATTTTTGGTTATAAATCATCAGACCTTATGAACTGTGACGAGTATCGGAAAAGCAGTGTCTGCATCTGGCGTATGATGTGCAAGAAAATGTAAGACACTGAAGCACATCCAATAGCTCTCACGTCTCTTATGGTTATTACGTAACCTTGATCCCGTATCGTTTCTGTCTGTCTGTTTTTGACATAGAACTTTGCACAAATGTGCGGCAGTTCAAGTCGCCACACTCCGTATCGTTTAACCAATACTCATTTCTTATCGTTGATTTTACGTTGTCGTCAGCTTACATAGACTATAATACAAAATCTTTATCTTTATGTTTTCACTACTGTTTCTTTTATATCACTTGTGTAGCACAGCTGTATTCCTCAAGTTGTTTTTGTCACACTCTCAAGTATTCTTGACAGATGTTTAGGAGGTTGTGTAGTCAAATTCTTTTGCCTAAATTATGTGCTTGCAT